ACTGTAGATAGGTCTTAGTCATCAGGTCTACTCCACTTCCTTCTTGCCTGCTTAGACTCTTGGCACTCTGAGGTGAGCAGACTTAGTCAGCCTGTGTTGCCCTAACAGTATCTTTGTACCCTTGAATCTTGTCATCATCTGACACACCGCAACTGTCCATTGCAGCTCAGCAACATGATCTGAGGAGGCCTCTTCCATCTCCTTGTCTATCCACATATCAGTGGAGACAGTCTCAGTAGGACCATCTGAGTGTGACATCCAGTCCACTAACTTGTTACAATCTCCAGGGATATGGAGAATCTTGATTATATTAAAGCACTGTAGGTATTCCTGAGCACATATTACTCTGGCTCCAGCCAGAGTAGCCTTCAATTGAAGGTATTGCAACAGCACATGGTCCATGCAAATAGTAATGGGAATGCCCATCAACTGGCTCTCCCACTTGTTGAGAGCTTCCAATACTGCCAGCAATTCATGCTGGTAGGTAGGGTACTGCAATTGGGCACTCATAAAGCATCTGGAATGGAATCCAGCAGGTTGGACTTTGTCCCACAATGGCCCCTGGCCATAGTAACATCCTACCCTGCTGGTGGATGTGTCTACTATGATGAAGACAGGGATCCCATTTTTGGGATTGATAGGCTTCAGCACTGGGTAGTCTGTAGCCAGGCAAAGAATCTTCTTGAAACAAGTTTCATGCATAGGAGTTACATCATAACTCCTATTTTGGTGTGTCAACAAAGACAATGGCCCAGTGTATTTGGCTACATCTGGGAAGTATGGTGCTAGATAGGTCACCATGCCAAGGAAGCACTGCATTCCTTTGGCATCCTTCGGGAACTTTGCATTCTGGATGACAGACATCTTGTCATCATCTGTGTAGATGCCTTCATCTGTGATCTTGTGTCCAAGACACTTGATGCTGGGAGACAGAAAGTCAACCTTGTCCACAGACAAGTAAAGCTTCTCTTTTCTTAGGATATCAAAAATGATCCTAAGATTTGCAGTGGCTTCACTTAAAGTGGAGCCTATGACAAAGATGTCATCAAGGTAGCAAACTACCTTTCACATCCAGTGCTCACATAGGATGTGCATCATCATGCATTGGAATGACACAGGGAGATTGCAATCCCCTTGTTGGCCAACTTGGCTAACAAATGTTCCAAATGGGTTTTGGAACACAGTTTTCCAGACATCATCTGGGTGCACTTGAAGCATTTCAAATGCATTTTGAAGATCTAATTTAGATCTGAATGGGTGTTGGGCCACCCATCTATGGATCTCATCCTGATCCAGTATCGGTGTAACATCCTTCACCATGTTTGAGTTTCTCTCTCAACAGTTGATGGTTGTTCAAAGTTGACCATTCCATTTTGGAATACACAGCATGGGCAATGCTTGCTGTGTTTGGGCTGGTGCCCACCAGTTGGTGGCAACATACCATTGAGTCTTCTCATGAAGCTCATCCCTGAGTACCTCAGGGCAGGCAGGACAACAAGTCCTATACTGTTTCTTATCATCAATTAGGTTGATGTGATGATTAACCTCCCTCAAAGGAGGGAGCTGTTGTGGGATCTCACCCATGAGATCCTGTCAGGAATCACCTCATTTTGGTCTGGATCAAAGCAATATTGATGCTATTGACAAGTATCTTGATGCTAAGGACAAGCATGTCAAGGATAGCAGCAAGCATTGCAAGGCCATATCAGTGCAAACAGACAAGATCAGGCATATTGTAGGGTTGCTCAAGGCTCATTATGATATCAAAGAGTATTGCAAATATCAATTGGCAACCATACCAGGGTGCACTCTTATCTCAACCACCTTCCCATGGTATTGTGTGCAATCTTGTGCCAAGGACCACTTATCAAGATTGCTTGGGAACATGGAGAAGTCACAATATCAGGGTTTGGCAATATCAAAGACCAAGAAGGCATTGAGAAGCAAGTTCTCACAATATTGGCTCATTGGTAATATCAAGATGGTATTGCCATCTTGGCATCAAAGTCCACACAGGCTTGCTCTGAGGTAACCTCTCCTGTACAGATTATCAGCCACAATCTTGAACTGCTTCCAACCCTTTCATACATAGAGTCACCCATTATTGTGATGTACTCCTTAGATTTGATCTCTCAGGAATTCCACTGTCTAGTCAATATTCTGGTCTTATGACCAATCTCCCTTGAGAAGCCAAGTGTGCTTCGATAGTGTGACCCTCTCTTCAATATTGACATTGAGAGAGCATCCTCCACTCACAATTACCTTGATTTACTTGTTGTACCTCTCTGAGCAGCTGATTGCTCAACCAAGATGCCAAATCCTCCTCTTGGACAACTTGAGCTCTGGTCAATAGCCCTATCTCAGGATGATATTGGACCTTTGGCCCAGCCAAACAGCTGATTCCCCTCAATATGGACAAGCTCCTCAGTATTGCATTCTCGCTTGCTATGTGCTGCCTTTCTCAATGCTCAGAACTCCACTATATGGACAGCCAATATGCATGATAGGACAGAGCCTAGTCAGCATTCCCTGTCAGTTGGTGTTGACCCCCACCAATATCCATGACTCCCCAAACCAATGCTCCAAGAGTCAAGATGATATTGGCAGCTGTCTCTCAACACCTCATGATATCTTGATTCAAGAGTCTTGCACCCCTCTTCACTTCACAGAACCCCTTCTTGACAGCACATTGACAGCTTGCAGATCCAGTCTATGGCCAGTGGTCATATTGATGGATTACCAATGCCCTCGATTCTGTCTTGATCCTACTCCCCTTTCCCGTCATGGCCAAGGACTCTATGATATTGTTTGAGAACACATGAGACACTCAATAGCATGCAAGATGCTTAGTACTCCTGGATATATGATATCAACCATCCCCTCACTATTCCCCTTCACTACACCTGGTGTCATGATGACCCAAACTGAGCTCTGGTATGCTTGATATTGGGTTGTTTAGGCATCAGGGCTACACCAAGACTGGAGCTTTGCCCTTGATACAAGATCTCAAGCTTGCTAGATGCTGTGTCCTGACAGATCCTTAATATCATTGATAAGAGTCTCTCTTATCTTTTGTAACATTTCTTCCCCATAGGAAGATAGCATTTCCCTAGTACCCTTTGGGGCCTGGGGAGTGGATGCTTGTGCTGTGAGCACATGCTTGACCCCAATGTGGTCAGGGTGTTTGACTTCTCTTTTGGAAGCCAGCTTCATCTTTGGGATGCTGTCCCATATTCCCACAGACAATGCCTCTCCCAAGGCTATCTATTTCCCCATAGGGCCTCCAATACAGAGGCCTTTTGTACCAAGATCTAATAAGATCTTGAACTTCTTGCTGAAAGGTGTGCCAAGGATCACTTGGTATTTGTCAGTATTGACAACATCAAAGTAGTGTTCCACTACTCTGTCACCAATGTCAATCTTGGCATTGACACCATCCTGAAACACAGTATGACTGCCCCTACTCATCTGTTGTAGGGCAACTGGATTATCCAGTTTGATGTGTTCCAAGCCATGGGCTCAGACAAAGTCAGCAGAGATCATATTGATCTCTGCACCACTGTCCAGCAGGGCAAACACAGGGTGCCCAGCAATGCTAATATAGCATTCAATGGGGGACAATGCAGTACCATTGTGAAGAGGTTGCTCTCTTCCTAGATGGATTTGCCATCCCTTCGCCATATCTCTGGCTTTACATCTTTTGCAGCTGCAAACTTAGTATGAGCAGAAACTGCTCATACCACCAATAAGCCAACAGGCTTAATCAACATAACCCACATGTTAGCAGGTACAATGTTCTCTGCTGGGACATCTTCAACATCTTTGATGTTGGTGGACTTGCATACAGGAGGATGATTGAACTCTTCATCCTCCAGGTCATAGTCACCTGTATCATCCTCAGGATGAAGATCATTGGGTTTGTCATCTAGATGAGGTCCCATCAATATGGCATGTATGCCATCATCCTGGAGGATGTATTCTACACCCTCAATCATTTTGGGTGCTGCAAGATGCACACCTCTTCATTGAGGGCAACTGTTTGCCCAATGGCCAGACTTGTTACAAATGTAACAAGTCAGGCCTCCCCCAGACTGGGGTTGTTTTGACTGATTGTTGACAGGATGAACATTGTCCCTCTTGACTCCCCCAGACATACCAGGGGTTGGAGGTCTCCTCCCATAGTTTACAGGATATGTCTCTTTCTTGGGAGTTACTCCCTTCTCCATGGGAGCCCCTCTAGAGGGGCCAGCTCCTGGTTTGGGCATTTCTGGGTGCCTCTCCCCATATTGTATCAGATGATATGACTGGCTAGGTTGAGGATATGATCTCCTCACAGGTATTGAACTACCTGTTGTTGTCCCTCTATAGGGAGACAATGTTTTGGACATATTCCTATATGCCCATAACCCTTGTACCATGTCAAGTACTCTCTCAGACTAATGGCACAAGTAAACAACATGTCAAATGTCTCATTGTTGATGTTGTAACCTGACTCAAGCACTTTGGTGCTTATCTCTTCATTCAATCCAAAGAGGAACCTCCTTTTAATTTGGGGGTTGTTAGGATGCTTGTGCATCCTACCCATTATGGACATTAATTTGTCCTTATACACTTCAACAGTGTCTCATCCTTGTGACAAGCTGTC